GCGCCGGCGGCAGCAGCAGCAGCAGCAGCAGCGGCGGCGGCGGCGGCGGCAGCAGCAGCGGCGGCGGCGGCAGCGGCGGCAGCAGCAGCAGCAGCGGCGGCGGCGGCGGCAGCAACAGCAGCAGCAGCAGCGGCGGCGACGACGGCAGCAGCAGCAGCGGCGACGACGACGGTGGCGGCGATGGCGCTGGTACACAGCCTCCCTTGGCGGCTGTAGGATTGCTTGTATCGGCTTCTCACATCGACAGGTAAGTCGTACGTGTAGTGGAGCGGATCAAGTGAAGCCAGCGGGGCTCCGTATAAACAGCGATAAACAACGGCATCTGTCGTATTTGTTCGTTGTAGACTTTCTTTAGCTGTTGTCTTTAGCACAGATCCGTTACGCTTGTGTTTCGTTGATTTCCGTTCCTGGTTTCGGGGCAGGTGCACGGGTGCTTTGATTAGCGCGTGCCATGTGCTCACCGCCGGGCACTGCATCTACGGCTTTGAGGGCAGCGACGTTGGGGCCAGTGGTGATGATGGTATTGGCGGTGGAGGTGGCGGCGGCGGCGGTGGCGGCGGCGGGGAGGGAAATGGAGGCGCGGGCGGTGGCGGCGGCGGGGGAAATGGAGGCGTCGGCGGTGGCGGCGGCGGCGCAGATTGGATCCGTTCCTGGATCTTTACACCTGGCTGGAATGGCCACAGCGCGCCGTACGGGCAGTTCACTTCACGTACGGCTGTCGTACCGCCACAGCTCACCGAGGATAACGATCCATCGTACGACATCGGTTTAGTGGTGCTGGCGCAAAATGTGCCTGCCGCCGCGGGCCCGTTTTTTGAGTTGGACGATCTGCCATACCCGAATAACGTTTCGGGCCCCTCCGGCGGCTGTGCTGGGAACGACAGCTGCAAGGGCGCCAGCACAGCAGTTGGCGGCAACGGTGGTGATGGCGGTGGCGGAAGCGAAAGCGGCGGCGGCGGCGGCGGCGGTAGCGACGCCAATCCCATCTATCGAGTACGTTCCATATCGAGCCAATGTCGTACTACCGTACCGCCGTACACACAACGCGGAAACGGAAGGAACCCGAATCTCGAGAACCTCTTGAACTGTCGAACTACCCCAAAGCACAAACCCTTAGTCCCGCGATATGCCCCCCTCGCTTCCCAAAGTCGGCTGATAGTCGGCTGGTCACATCGACAGCTAGCCGGGCTGGAAATACTGCACTGGAAATACCGCACTTCCCCCTTCCATAAAAAAGATTTCCGTGCATGTGATCCCCAGCCCCCTAGACGTTTCGAAGTGATCGATGGCCGCGCGCAGGGTGTTCAATATCGCCCACTGGGGCCGTCCCGTCCTTCGCAATCCTTCAGATCGGCAACGTCAACCACATTTCCTGGCTCCTCCCGTACCCAATACTCTTCTCCCCCCCCCCAATCCTCCGCCCTCCCCCAATACTCAGTATATATATATACATACATACTGTATATATACATATATATACTGTATATATACATATATATACTGTATATATACATATATACTGTATATATATACATATATATACATATTATATATAGTAAGATCACTCTTTCCTTGGCATCAGCTTCACCCGCTCGTGGTACGTCTTTCCCCCAATACTCCCCCCTCCCCCAATCCCATGAGCCCTCCAGTTCCCTGACGCCCGGCTTCTTCACCGCACTGCACAGGTGGCCATCAAGGACGGGGAGCCGGTAATCGTCAACACCAGGACCGACCCCGTCGCCGCCGCCGCCGCCACTAGCGGCACGGTTCAGCAGCATAGCGGCGGCGGCGGTGGCGGTGATCTAGGCAGTGATGGGCCATGCCTCAACTTCGCAGGGTATCCCGCTCCGCTCGTACGGTGGGCGCAGTACTGCAGGTGTGTGTGTGTATGTGTGTGTGCGTGTGTGCGTGTGTGGTGGAATGGGGGGGAAGGGAAAGCCCTGGAGGGTTACTGCCCCTGACACGATGCGCGGCATGACATGCCGTACAAATGCACTTGCGTCAGCGACGTACTGCTGCCTGGTAGTCTTATTGCGGTTTCGCGTGTTGTTTCTTTTCTGCCGCGGCATAAGGCACAAGTAACACCGGGGTTTGGGTTTGGAGGACAACACCCCAGGATCCCTCCACGCTCGCACGCAAGCACGTGTGTTTTTGGCCACAGGGCCGTGTTGCCCGGGCTTCAGCGCCCGCCGTCCCCGCCATTCCTTCCCGCGGCTTTCACCTCCATTTCCCCGGCCCCACCGCCTTCCGCCTCACCAGAAGCACTGGAATGGCTCTTGTGCTGATGCCGTCGGGTCGCATGCTGCATGTTGCGTGTTTGGAATGCTCCGCCTTATCAGTACGCCACACCGTCCTGTCAATTCCCCCAGCCACCCCTTGCTCCGCTACCCGCCATTCCCGCCCGACCCGTCCGTATGTTACACCCCCAAAGGTACCTCACCGATCTGGACGACCACAATTTCGTGGAGACTACGTGCAGGGGCAGGCCGGGGGTATCAGGAGCACCTTTGTGGGTGTACGACCCGCCACCAGATAACAGACCGGGCGAGAACGGCCGCCCTGGGAGCGGTGGCGCCGCTGGAAGTGGTGGTGGCGCCGGCGGCACTAGCGGGACCCGAAACTCGGCAGCCGCGGCGCCGCCAAAGCCGCCGCAGCAGCCGCAGCAAGCTCAGGGGCGACGTGTGTTGCGGGCTGTGCTGACAGCTGGCGTACCCAAGGGCCCCACGGGCGCGGTTCGGGTCGACCGGGGGCTTAGGGACTGGATACGGCATGTACAGCGGGATATGCCGTGCAGCGGGGCCGGTGGCGGATAGCTGTCGGTCCACGCGGTCGTTGTCGAATTGAGTTGAATCAATAAAAGGTTTTGAGGGAGCGGCGGCGGCGGCGGCTGTTGCTGCTTGAATGCTGCGGCTGCTGCGGCTGCGAGCGCGGCTCTGCTTGGATGCGCGCGGCGAGCCCTTCACGGGGTGTTGCGGTTTTTTAACGTAGAGGGCTTAAAGGAACTCAATAATGTGCAGGGAACACGACATACGTACAGATGCACTGAGATGTGACGGTGATTCGTGGGGATTCACAGCAACGACGAAATCACAGACGCATGGGTATACTACTACGGCTACTACCGCTGCCGTGGGGCTAGGGTGGGCCGAGCTGTACGTGATGTTGGATTTGTTAGGCCCCTTCAAAAGTGTATGTTTGCGGGCCCCTGTGCGCTGAAGTATATACATTTTCTAGTATTTTCATTATATACGTACGTCAGTATGTATGTACTGAAGTATATTACATGTCTGCGTGTGTGTTTCACCTCCAGTTGCGTTACTCCGCAAAGGCGTAATAGGCCCGTACGAGCCGGGAGCCCAATGTTGTCCGAAATTTGATAGATATCCTAAAAGGCGCACAAAAAACTATTATCCTAATTTAACAGAAAAATTATGTGTTTGAGTTATCCGAACTGTAGTGTAATGCAGCAGGAAACTGTATAGTACTGCAAGGAGATGAAACCTAACCCGACTTGACGAAAACCGCCAGACAATTGCTTGACTCGGAAGGATGTGGAATCTGTCGTTGGACGAGGACCTCCAGCTGTCGGATTGGATTCGTTGGCGACTGGCTGGCGACCGGTTGTCATCCGCCCGGACCTGGCGCCTGCTGCATCAACTGCGTTTTCCTGGCAGCGGACTGCGCGTGGCCACATCGTTAGTAGACTTGGCCCCATGGCTTGCCATCGTGATAGATGTCGATACATTCACTTCTGGTCAGCACAGTCCCTTAAGAAACGGAAGCTATAACACACGATATAACTGCGGACAGATACAGACTCATAACAATTCCAGAGGGAAGTTGAAGCGCAAGCAACACCGCTGCAGACCTAACAGACGCGCGCAGTAGCATCAACACTACAGACGCAGCTAGGGAACGCAAGCTGGGAATGTGCCGGAGGCGTTTGCGTTTCTCCGTTTTGGCGGCCGGGGTGAGCTCCCCGGGTTGACGAGGGGGTTAGCCGAAGTCTTCTTACAATCTTACAATCCCAACGGAAACGCCGACATGCACAAAAGAAATACGGGTGCGCTAGCGTCTCTTCCCTCGTCCTGAAACCGGTATCAAGAAGATCACCAAGTAGCAAACTGTCATTTAATAGCGGATAAAAAATTGTGTGAAGAAGACGTTTGGATTCGGTTTTACTTGCATTGTTCCGGGCTAGCCCTGGAAGATGTTTTCCCTCGAATATCATAAAGCGCCTTGGAAAGAATCTACATACCATGGCACGCTCGCCATGGCACACTGAACACCCAGTAAAGAGCGCGCTTCTCGCAAAACAAGGCTGCGAGGCAGCAGGTTCTACGCACAAGTGCCAAGCCATACACGTGTTAGAATTATAACATCATTATTTCGGGCCAATCGGCCAATTCCAACGCCCTACCACGTCCATCCTTTTTCAAGCAGTAACACAAGCGCGAAGCCCCCAAGCCGGCCGCCACCAAACGCCAAGATAAACTAAGACTCCCACAGGAGCACAGAATTGTACCAAATGCTTGGACAAAGTTGTGCACATGTGCAAGGACGAAGGACTCAGGTCGCTCACATACCGCATTTCAACGCGCAACAAACATTTTAACAATTCGAAGAGGAAATTGAAGCGACAACAGGAAGCAGTAAAAAGTCGCGGTTGTGTGTTCGGTACAGGTTCATCGGCGCAGCTGCCTTGGGCCTTGGCCGCGAGGGTTTTCTTAACAAAACAAAGCGCTTCCCCATTAAAGGCACAAGGACGCCGCGCTCACCACTTTCGCGGCCCTTCCTCTGCCCTGCCGCCTTTCCACACGTCGTTGACGGCCACGGAGGCACGGAAACACCCCGCCCTTCCAGCAGGGCTGAAACCCTAAGCAACTCTTCCACCCGGCGTGGCACAACAGACTCGTCTTCCTTATGCAGCGAGCTTCTTGGCAATTGGGCCGAATGCCTTGGCCTGCAAGGCCGGGAAGGGACAAGAGCAACGGGATTAAGGTAGGCAGAGAAGGAGAAGGGCCAACAGCCAAGTCCAGGTGCCCAAGGCCGCCTCGCCTCGCCATTAGCCCCAATCCGAGTACGCTGGAATTGCATCGCGATTAAAACTGACCGGTCAGAGCCTGCGGCATGTGCACTGTCACGCGCCTCTTGCTCACGGGGGCCACTGCCCTCACTCTCCCTTCCCCACCAACACCAATTCTTTCCCTTCCTCCGCGAGCAGGACCTCAAAACCTCCGCGAGCAGGACCTCAAAAGGAAGCTAAAATGACGAAGAGGAGAGAGCGGTGTCTCTGCGACAATGTGGCGACCTTTCTCCCAACCCCCCCCTCTTGTACAGGCAGGTCACCACACCTTCCTTTTCCTCCACTCACATCCCACCTGCGAACGAATTGCCTCCAGCTCCCCCTCCGACGGCTGCCGGGAGCCATCCGGGCCGGCCAGCGTGCCGGCACCCCACGGCGAGCCGCCCTTGGCCTCCTGCAACCCAAACATGACTCCACCGGCGGCGTAGCCGGCGGACACGTAGATCATACCATGGTGCGCAAGCTGTGTGACTGCGGGGGAAAGGGTGAGGTGACGGGAGACAAGGCGTGAATAGGTAGTCGGTGGATGGGAGTTCATACCTTGGAGAGATAATGATCTTCACAGCGAGAGTTTCCACGTCTACTGATGAGCGGTTTTGGAGAAGGGCCAGGCCGCTGGGTCCAAGATGGTACTGACCCACATTCTCCTCCACGCTCAAGAGCTCGGACACCACCACTTCCAAGACCCGCCCAAACCCGATAGATGCTATGATGCAAGTGTCTTCCCGCCCCTTCTCCCCCTTCATTTCCAACTCTAGAAATGACAACGCGTAATTATTTTGTGTGACAAACTCAAATTGGTTGGTTCCATTTCAGCTGTTCAGTTAGGTGGCGGACGTAGGACCACCTTCCACGACCCAATCGTGACAGCCCAATGATATTCAGCTGTCGGCTCGGTTCCATCCTTCGATGCTCTCCGGTCGCTTGTCCTTTTTCCAATGGTTCCAAACCCACCCACGCACCCAGCCATTTGGACTGACCCGCGTCCGCACACGCACCCCCTGAGCAGAGACGGTGTAACTCACCCGCAGTCATGAGGGTTGTCTCCTGGCCGCCGCCCTGGCTGGCGGTAGAGGTGAACAATGAAACCGGCTTGCCGTGCAGGGCGCCGTTCTGCCAGAGCATGCCCGTGGCGTCGAAAAAGTTCTTCATCTGGGAGCACATCATGCCGAACCTGCACGAAATGTATGCATGTATGTACGTATATATGATTTATTTTATCTTCCTTATTATACTTCGGGACCACCCGGGTGTGATATGGATTGCAGAGGTAAAGCAGGCAACGGCACGTCGAAAGCTCGCGGCGGCTCAGTCTGGTATGTTCCATACGCACGCATGCACATGCTCAACGCAGGACTTCCAGCGTCTTGATCAATTGCAAAACATAGGCCGCGCAAGAGGGGCTTACGAGGATTCGAAAGACATTTAAACCAGCTGCTCAATAACACAGGATGTGTGATCAGCTGCATCATCAGGTGCACACGAGCGGCCAGTGCAGCACATGCGCCGAGCCATCACGCAAGTGCGGGCCGCCCTCCTAGCCCCGGATCTATATGTAGATCCTCACAGGACCATGAGGTGGTTCCTACCGCGTTGGGAAGCCGAAGACAAACGCGTCGGCCTCTGGCAACTTGTGCGGGTCGGCAAGGGGCACGTCCGGCTTAGTCGGCGCATGCATCTTCTCGAGCACGTCGGCAGGCAGCGTCTCTGCCACCTACAAGACACACAGGCGCGAACGAGTGAAGGGATGCGAGAGGTGGGATGGGGGTTATGGGCGGCCAGCAGAAGCCTGTATCTGGACACGGCGGAAGCGCAGGTAAGGCCGTTGGTGAAGGAGGGGCTGCACATGGAGGCGGGAAGCGCGCGGGAAATAAAGACACTGCAGGCCAACGTATTTTCATGTGTGGGGTGCAGCAGCGATGTATTTCGTGGATCGATGGAATACGCATGCCCACAGGCGGATTATCCTTGGCGGAAGGCGCGAAAGGCAGACCTGGCGACAAGACGGGCACAGCTTGCATACCAAGGCTTGCATACGCAAATCAGGGTATGTAATACCTGGAACAATGAAACTTCAACGTCTTCAACGGTCTCTAGCGCTGCTTTGTAACTCTGCGCGAGCTGGTAGATGTGCCCATAAGTCGAATAGAAAATGATGAAAACCTTCAGCTTCTTCTGGGGTTGAGAAGGCTCTTTAGGAAGTTCCGCATCCTTCGCCTCCCCTACGGATGCTTCCGGTTTGGCGTCTGTCTTGGCGACAGCTGGCTCGGTCGTCGCCGCATTTGCAGAGGTTGGGTTAGCTGTTGTGGGAGCATCCACTGCATTTGCTTGACCGCCGCAAACGTTACCCATTTCCTGTGACACTGCTTGCCGCGCGAAAAAATGCGTAATAGGTGTCGGTCAATCAGCAATCACAAGCAACCAAGTCCTAGAACTGTTCACAGTACTCTTCGGAAGTCAAAAGCAACTATATATATGTTTCACTATTGCAGCAAATTACGTGTTTGCATTGCACGATTTCTCGCGTAACCTTGTGCACGGTAACTCGTCATCCAGACACACTATTTCGTAGTCCCCCTTATGGTACTCCTGCATTTACGCTTGAAGTCGCCTCATTAATTGCGTCTTTTAGATCTTCAAAAGTACTCGGGACGACCCTGGACCAACGGTAGCTACCTTCCTGAGCACGTAACAAAAAATGATGCTGAACAGTAGTCAGCGCCTATAAACAATTAAAACTCAACATTACTCAATTTGGTCGGGAGCTCGGGGCTTATTTTCATTTCCAACGGTTAACCGGTTCTCATGTATCTTGCCTTATATCTTACCATATCAATGCCTGCATCCGTGTCTTCTGCCAGTCGACAAATTACGCTTTCGGCGCCTACCATTGTTGGAGTACCAACGAGCTACTTTCTGCCTGCTGGGCCTGCCTTAATATGCCCGACCAGCGGATACTGCCCCAGAAATCCTCAGCCTCCAAGCCATACACCTCGGCCACATGAAGGGGGTGCTAAGACGTCCGTCTATCCTGTCTTTGCGATGGGTTCCAGGACAAGATTTGGCGCACAAGGGCAGGCACCCTTCTTGACATGCTCGCTTATTATCATTACAAAAGTGAAGCAACGAGGGCTTGTGGGAACCGTTTTTCATCGTCGTGGCAAGTTATTTGCCACCTGCCATCACCCCATCTTGATATATTTGCAGCCTCTACTGCAGCGGAAAGCGGTTACAGCCACGGGGTTCCACAGAGACGTTACAAGACTCCCGCACAGCCGTCGCCCCTTGTCATATCCCGCAAGTAAACATAGAACAGAATTGCGGCCACAGATCGTCCAACTTTCAAAAGGTGCATATCGCTACCCAATTTTGCCACACCCGTATTGCGTTCAGTCACAATTTTTTCATTTAACTCTAATTGATTGGTGGTTTCAGTTATAGGATCGAGAAGATCACAGCTCACGCCTTACAAGAGCCAGACCATTTTTCCGAAACCGCATCATCAATAGATCCGCGATTTCGCAAACCCAACCAAACCCAGCGCCGGGTAAGCCAGGGGCCTGCATCCGAGGAGCAGCTGCAGCCAGGACCTTTCGTCAGGCTCGTTCATGCTCGTCAGGCTCGTTCATGCCTTGAGCTTCTTGGCAACGGTTGCCAGCTGCTTACCCTGCGAGGCAAGGGGGTCATCCGGGGGATTGACGAGATGGAGAAGGGATCTAGGACTAAAATTCACGTGAAGTAATACTGAGATCCTCGACTGCTGATAACACATTATTCGCTTAAGGGAAATTATTACATTCCTTTCAGGAAATACTTCCAAACATAAATACATGATCCTTTTCATGTGAAAGGGGCCTATCCTACCTTCGGTACCTCCCTGCCAATAGCCACGCTTGCACTCCACGCATAAAAGAAATATTGCCTTCCACAGGGCACACTAAGCGCAAACACAACTGCCAGTCGCTGCGGCACGGACATACTAATCGCAGCAGCAGCGCTGCTCATTTGTGTCGCTGCGGTGTACCACGTCCAGGTATCAGAACAAATGAACTTACCATGACTTCAGCGTGGTTCAACTCAACCTCCGACGGCTGCCGGGAGCCATCCGCTCCGGCCAGCGTACCGGCACCCCACGGCGAGCCACCGCGGGCAACACTGACGTCGAAGAGCCCGGCACCGCTGGAGTAACCGGCAGGCACGAAAACCATGCCATGGTGCGCCAGCTGCGTGACAGCCGTCATGAGCGTAGTCTCCTGGCCACCGCCCTGGCTGGCAGTTGAAGTGAAGAGAGAGGCAGGCTTGCCGTGTAGAGCGCCCTTCTGCCACAGGCCGCCGGTGGCATCGAAGAAAGCCTTCATCTGAGCAGCCATCATACCGAATCTGCACGGAAGGACACGGACAAGTGAGTTTTTCCGCAGGGCAGAGAAGGACCGTAGCTTGCCACGGCCGGAAGGGCATAACGGTGTCAATGAGTGTAGAGATTGTGTTGAACTTCCGGCAAGGATGTGGTAAGGCAGTAGTGGTGCACGAGGAACGACGGCGATAGTAGTGCAAGGTGCACACGATGCCGTGCATAGTTGAAGATAGAGGACTAGGTAGGCCGCACGCGGTTTGGCCACGTGTGGAACTCGTGAGCCAAGTCAACTCACCGAGTGGGGAAACCGAACACAAAGCCATCCGCCTCTGCAAGAGTGTGCGGGTCGATAACTGGATAGTCAGACTTAGGTGGAGCGTGCATCTTGGCCAGGACATCCTCCGGGAGAGTCTCCGCAACCTGCATAGCACGGACCAGCATTTGGACTTCCCGAACACAACCTGCAGGACTCCGTTAGCGTATCGCTGCGGAGTTTCGCTGGAGCTAAGACAGCTAAAAATATAGATTATCCCAAGATGCACTGATACCGTAGAAACTGGCCATGGGTCGCCATACACACCGATAGTTGAGGGGATCAGATACGAAAGATTCAAGACACTTAGGAACCAACCTGGTAAATAGTCGCCTCTACACCCTCAACAGATTCAATGCCCTGCACCACAAGGGCAAAGGATGGTGCACATGAGGACCGCAGCAGTGCAAGCGCTGCTATTTGAGAGCGACCGTTTTCCGAAAGAACGCACCTTCTTGACTGCCTCTGCCAAGGTCTTAACATGGCCATAGGTAGAGTAGAAGATGATCCAAACCTTCACAGCCATTTTCTCTGTCGTTCTATGGTGCAATTAACGCAAGAAAAGACTGTCGTTACACAACGACACAGAGGAATCACTGACCGCTAAAACAGGATTAGACGTTCTGCCTCTGTAGTGTGCTGTTCATACTTAGGAAAGATGGTGTTATGAAAGCAGGTTGACTTATGTACGGCGAGTTAAGGGTGTAATCCCCTAAGGTGACGCAGGTAATCCACGCATCAACCGATGTCCTTGGTTTTTTGCTGTTACGGCTATAAGCGAGTGTACTATTGTTTGGTGTGCGCCCGTGCGTGCAAATGTATCAACGTCCGACTTTCCTGTTCAACGTGTATCCTTTGTCATCCAAGCGGTGTCCACGTAATGTCCTATGTTCAGATATGTATGGCAGACCGAGCCCGAATTATTCATTATCCTATTAGGCTTTTGCTGGGTCTGGCCGCGTTCCGATTTTTTCACTATGACATGTGCCAATGCTGGTGTGATAATAATGGTTCTCTTGTATTCTGCATTCAAAGTTTTGTGCTTTCGATAGCGTCACGGACGGATCACTGTGTCGAGTCATACTGTCCACCACGGCAAGCGTGCTACAACGCCGCTGAGCATTAATGATCTAGCTCTAAATCACCCGCGGTGAAACTGGCATACTGAATATTTTTTCATTCATTCTCTATTTCATTTCGTTGTTCAAGAGTAAACGACCATGCGCTTGGCTGAGCGAACCCAGGGCAGCCACGCCACTATTGGGCGTCAAAGGAACTTATCCAAACCCCATAGGTGCCGATCCACAAATGCCATACGCCCGGCAGCCCCCCGCGTGATTGGGAGGTCACATTTTCGGGCGTTGCTCGACGCGCATCAGGCAGTGCTGGTCGCCAACCCTACCACAGCGGTGACGACGCAGGTAAGATCTTGTCTTAATATCAATTTCATACTTTATCAAAATTCCGAGGGCAGTGCATATCCCTGGCGCGCTTGGCTGGCGCATCGTCAGCGGCCCCCGCGTGTGGTGCTCCTTTAGCCACCCACCAAAACAACATACGCAGCCCCCACCCTCTCCCTCTGCCACTCGAGGCCAGCGCTAGGACGTCGTCAGCAGCAAGTCAGGGGAACCGTTTGGGAGGTCAGCTGTCTCGGAGCCTTGTCCAACAGTGCAGCAGTGGGACCCTACGTATCAGAATGGGGGCCGAGGGTGGGTGAGACAGCCGGGGTAGAGGCGAAAAGAAAGGGCAAACAGCGCACACAAACGGCACGAAGCGGCTTGCGGAGAAATGGAAATTTTTGAAGGAAACATCGAGAGCTGAGGCGAAATGTTGTAAACCACGAAGGTCCTCGCTCGTGCACTAACTTCATATAAAACCGCGTTTGCTGTGGAGCGGTGCTGTGGAGCGGTGTTTGACTGGAAAAAGAGGCCTCGTGACGAGGTTGCGACATAAAGAATGACGGATGATGATGTGTGAGCGGCAGCCGGGAGGGCGGGGGAGAGTGGTAGATACACCGCAAGATGAAACTGTGCCGCGCCATGAGGTTCAGCAGCACAGCACAGCGCAGCGCAGTGCAGCGGAGGTGTCGCTGAAAGCTCATCAGCAGAAAGAAAGGAAGGAAGGACCGGAACATAGACAAGAGTACATGCTGCCAAAGACGTATGCCCGCCAAACTCACGACCCTCAGCCATGCCCTTCCAACCAACAACCGACAAACCGACAACTACCGGTGGGGATAAGTCGTTTCTCTCTGTGTGGTCCGCCAACACCCGCTACCCACGAACATGCTCGATAGTTCTTTTTGGACGTCAACTTCCGCTTCCATTACTCGGCTACGTTTGGTTATCTGTGCCCCTAATTTCGTTTCATTCCTTTCCTTTCCTTCTCCCCCTCCCGATTTCCCGCCCTAAGGCTTCTCAACCCATTGCGTAACCCCTAAGTTGTCAGGGCAGTGGGAGGCCCTAGAGCAGCCCCGTCGTGCCCTGAGGAGCAGTTTTGTGTGTACTGAGGATTTACGAAAACCCCGACCGCCTGCAACGCCCACATATAGACATACACACATACAGACATACACACGTACACAAAGACATACATAGCCACCTAGTCACATTCAACTCCATGTGGCCCCATAAACCGAACAATGGGATGATGACCTGTGCCGGCTGTTTCCCCCGTCCCGTAACACCGCCACAGGTTAGCAACCTGTCGTACGAGGTTGACACGCGCAACAGCCTGCAGCGAATCAAGTACGAGCCCAGCGGTACGTGTCTCATCATGGATGCCTGAATGTACGGGAGGTTGATGACTTCTGATTCGCTGGTGCTGCGCAATTTTACTGTTTTACGGGAGTGCATCAGGGTTATTGAGGTTGGCAACAAGGTCGTGGGGGCCCACCCCTAGTCCCGGCGCCCAACAACACTTTTCTAGAAACTCAGCAAACGTGTATGTCATATCTGTACGGACATCTGTACGGACATGTGTCTGGCAGGGTCTAACCGCGACGTTTCCATCCATGACCAGTGCGGCCCGAGTGTACTTACTCTCGTTGTGGCTTCCCGCGTAATGCGCTTCAAAATACAATGTTGCACTCTGTCCTGGCGTGCGCCATGCTATGCCGTGCTGTGCTGTGGTGCCTTAAGCTGTGCTTAACTTCACCTTGTCGGCTGCGCTTTGTATTCTCGTCTTGCGCAGTGCCGCAGTGCCGTGTCGCCTCGCGTGACAAAAACCTTAGAGAAACTTAAAACCCTAGAAAAAAACCCAAACCCTAAAACCTCAACGCACCCGGCTGTTGACCCTTTACTTCTTACATGTACCTCCACCCCTGCAGGATGGAATTATTGGGACTGGGAGTGGGCGGGAGAGAAGCGCAAAGTGCATTTCATCAAGGCAGGGCGGCAGGGTGACCCTGTCGTAGTGCTCGTGCACGGGTACGGTGCTTCGTCGTACCATTGGCGGTACAATGTCCCGGCGCTGGCGGAGGCGGGTTACCAGGTGAGCGAATGCCCCCTAGTCTCTCCTACTTCTTGGTACAGCTGCCGTACGGCTGGTCACGTTGGAACTGCTACGAATGCCACTACTGCTCTTGCCTGTATTACTTCTGTCACAAATGCTCTTTTCTCCTTTCTGTTGCCAGCGCCGACTTCAATGCTTGTTGCTACTGCCGACTGCTCAGGTCTATGCGGTGGACCTGTTAGGGTTCGGCTACTCGGAGAAGGCCCGAGTGGACTACACGAATGCGGAGGTGAGGGCTGGCGAATGGTAGCGGTGGGTGGGGTATGAGCAAATGCAAGGAGGATGGGAAACGGGATATTGTGCAAGGCGGGAAGGCGGTCGCTACAGAGCACAACCCACAGGACACTACCCGAAATCTCCCCTGGTTCTCCCCACCTCCATCCCACCCCACCCCATTCATACCCATGTCCACACAGGCAATGGTCCCTCCTGATGGACCTGTACGACATGCGAGGCTCATGTATCCGCATCCCCCGTGCTCCACGCATTCCCTAAATTCGTCGGGGCACACACACATACACACACACACGCACGTCGGCATCTACACACGATGATCGTTACTTGCATCCTCTTTCTTTTCCTTCTCCTTCCCGGCTCGCATTAATATGTATAAGGACACGCAACGCAACATGCATGGACACACGTACGGATAAGCACAGCAATCAAGTATTACATGTATAATATACTTCCCATAGAGGTAATGGGCAGTTTCACTAAGTTCCACTATTTTCTCCACGATCAATAGGCATTATTATGCTTCAACTCTGAACATCTTCCATGAAGTTGCCCGGTTAGCTCAGTCGGTAGAGCGCAAGGCTCTTAACCTTGTGGTCGTGGGTTCGAGCCCCACATTGGGCGATGTGTTTCCATTTTGTTTTGACCCACCCCTCGCACCGTGCCCACACACCCCGTAGGCCTGGACCTCCCAGGTTATGGATTTCATTCGGATGGTGGTGGGCCCATCCTCGGGACCTGTCGTACTGGCGGGAAATTCATTGGGAGGTTACGTGGCACTGGCCACCGCAGCTCAGGCATCTGCGACCCACAGATCAGACCCGCAACAGCAACCGCAGCCGGTGGTGCGGGCGGTGGCGTTGCTCAACGGTGCGGGGCCTTTCCGCGACAACAACGCCGCTACCGGGAAGACTGCCGAGCAGGAGGCGGCGGAGTGGGCGGATCAGTCTTGGTGGGCGAGAACGCGGCGGAGTATCGCGGCGTGAGTGGAGGCCGGCTCGGGCGGGGGATTCAGGAAAAGGGGGCGGATAGAGGGGGAGGCGGGGAGGTGTTGCATCGTTTTCGGCGCGCTATTTGATCTTCTATCTTCCTTTGAGTGATGAACAATCCGCGTCTGAGTCTGAAGGTATGTCATAGCCCAATCGCCGCGTCCCACCCTCCCCAACACCGCGTCCCACCCTCCCGACGCTCCCTCCCCGCCTTATAAGCGCTCCCTCTCCCCCAACACCCCTAACCCTCAACCCTCCCACCACCACACACACACACATTCGCCCATCTCCATCTACCCTCATCCCCGTCCCCATCCCTTTTTCCCGCAACTAACCTTCGCCCTCCACTTCTTCCCCCCCACACACACACCGCACACCGCGCACCCCTTCATGCAGCTCCTTGAAGCGTGCGGTCATGTTTTTCGCCTTCCAGCGCACCAAGCAGCCAGCTCGGATTCGCGAGGTGCTCCAGTTGGTTTATGTGGACCACACGAGTATTGATGACGACTTGGTGACCAGCATTGAGGTGTGAGGGGGAAGGGGAAAGGGGGGAAAAGGTAAAATGGGGGTTCCCCTGCAGCGTTGCGACCTGGGGATGAGGATGCAGGATCTTTTCCTGTGATACCAGGTCCCGATATACTTTGTGTCCTTCCTCCCTCCCCCCCTGTCTCCCTTCGCAGTGCATTCCTCCATATCCTTATATCCTCACCTCCGTCCCGTGCGGCTTCCCCCTTTCCCCCACCCATACACACACGCACCTGGATGTCTCAGACACCCGCTCAGGACCCCGCCGCGTCGGAGGTGTTTTTCCTCGTGTCTCACTCCACCCGGGGGCCCCCCCGCTACGTGGACGACCTTCTGGAGCAGCTGGGGGGGGTGCCCCTGCTGCTGCTGTGGGGGGACAAGGACCCTTGGATCACACCAGCCAAGGTAGGCCGGGGGAAGTGAGCAGTGACGGGAAGTTGTAAGGGAGGGGGATGAATGGCAGGCATGGGACGGGGGTAGTGCTGAGGGCGAGGACGCTGTTTCAGTTGCGGTTGGGGAGGATCGGAAGGATGGCTAGTTGACGATGTTGAGATACGTGTTATGTGTAGATTTTGCGTGTTTGAATGTTTTGGAAACCGGGGGAGACCGTGTAGTCGGGGGCCCGCTTTGAAACACCGCTCTCATCCCAGTCCCGCTCCGTCTCTGGGTACGTTTTCCTCACACACACCCGTGCCCTCTGCTGTCCTCTCCCGCCACGAATCACATAAAACGCATACACACACATATGTACATATATACACACGTACACACAGGCCACCAAGATTCAGTCTCTGTACCCGTCCGCCGTCAAGGTGGGACTGGACAGCGGCCACTGCCCCCACGATGACACACCCGACCAGGCGAACAAGGCGCTGCTGCAGTGGCTGGAGTCACTGCCGCCAATCGATGATATCCCAAACCCCCCTACGACGGAGGTCTCCTCCGCGTCTGCGCAGCAGTAACCAACACTGCCAAAATGTGCCAAGGAGCCAAGCCCGGTTAGTAAAGGCGCCACCGCTGCTACCTGATAATGTGGTGGTAGCTATCGGAGTGGTGATCGGAGTGGTGGGGTTCCTGCTACTGCCTGCTGTTGAGCCTGGTCTTGCAATGATGACAGTCCGTGGTAGGGTACGGGAGGGGAGAGAGGGGAGCTTCTTCCGGGGTACACTGGGAGAGAGGAAGAGATTCAGCTGGGTGTGTAGGCTGGTGGAGAGGAGCGGGTGGAGAAGGCCGCACCACTAGCGCCGAAACCACCAGCACCAGCTCCTTCTGAGGTGTACGGCGGCTGGGGCTGGGGCGGTGTTGGGGAAGTCATCGGGTCTGTGGGGAGATGCTTGGGGCGGGTGCTCTCGCAGCAGCAGCTGACAGCAGCTGTCACCTTCCTCTTGTTGACCATATCCCCCTCCTCTTCTTCCTCCTCCAATTCCGCCCCCCCCTCCTCTTCCCCTTCCGCCCGTTCTGAAGGCTGCGCACCCTTGAATTTTATATTTATGAATCAGTTCATTGATTGAGGACGGGAGAGAGTGTATCTAAAGACAAGAGGGTGAGGGACGCTGCGTGTTTGAGCTTTTTTTACGGTTGTTGGTTGTTGCTGTCGTTTTGTGATAATCATTTTTGCGGTGTCAAATTTCTCTCTCTTCAAATTTCTTTGGTGAGGAGCCCAGAAGTCGATATTGATGAAGAGTTGGTTGCGTTTTTGCCGGTAGCTGTACGGCATGTACATACATGCAAAAGCCGGCTTGATGCTGATGCGTCCTTCGGCTGGCTGCTTGGTTATTTTGGTTCGGTTGAATTCGTTTGGTGGTTAGGAAATTGGTTGGTTCGTTGATACAGGGTATGTGCTGCCGGAATCATCAAGCGTGTGTGCTTGCGTCGTCATCGCACACATCCCGCAATTGGTGATCTAAGATTCGAGTCAGCTCATGCGATGCGAAAAGCATTATAAGCATCCTTTTGAAATACGACAGAATACGTTATCCATGGATACTCGTTATTGGCGGTGCAAAGCCGCGTTCGTCCATGTCCGTCCCTCCGTTATCCGTTGGTGACAACGAAAAATAATAACAGACAGACAATATAGGCTGTAAGGCAGACGCATATTCCGATGCATGCGTGCGTATCAGACAGGTCCGGGATTTATACCACCTCGTTAAAGACGCAGAGGCAGCGACAGAGGCTGCGACAGAGCTGGAGGCAGGGTTAAGGGCTGCGACACCACCCCACCCCACCAATCACACCACAGAAGGTTCCACTACCGGGACACCGCCACTGCTGCCTCCTCCACCCGAACCCCCACTCCCGCCTTTCCCGCTCACGCCGATCCCGCCATCACTCCCATCTCCATCCCCAACTGCCGTCCCTGACCCCGCCGTGTGCATCCTGTCCAGCACCGCCATGGCCTCGCTGCGAATAGTTTCCAACCGCGCAATCACCGCCGTATTCCCGCCAGCACCGCCACCAACTCCCCCACTTCCGCCACCGCCACTTCCGGCCGTACTGGCATTGGCCTCATCCAAACCCTGAAGCTGCACCACCATCGACTGCAGCGTCGCCATAAGCCGTCCAGGACGGACCCAATCTGGCTGGTTGGCGTGGAAGGCGGTCTGAGGCTTCTGCCGCGGCGCCGCGCCGTCCCAGTCGCGTTCGAAGGCCGCCGCCAGCAGCCCCACGCGTCGCAGCGGGTCGCTGACTGCCACGAGCTCCTTAAGGAACGCAGCGCAGCGCTGCGGTACGTTGGAACGAACAGGTTCCGCCATCAGCACCTGGTGGTCAGAATCCAAATCCGGATCCAGCCCCGACGCGAAGCGCATTTCCTCCCGCAGCAGACGTAGCTCCTCACGTAGCAGCACCAGGCGAGCCAGCAGCCGCCTGTCGGGTACCTCCGCCTGCTCCTCCATCTCGTCGATGAACTTGGAGGCAGTGGCGGCCAAGGTGTCAAAGTCAGCAGCGGGGATTGCGCCGGCGGCGGTGGCGCCGCCGGTGCCGGCGGCAGCGGCTGTCGTCGCCGCCCGCAGCACACCTACTCGCTCGTCCTTGTCCGCGTGGCGCAGCGCCAGGTCCAGGACCTGCGCGGCGGCGGGCATGCGGGCCCCTACCTGCCGCAGAACCTCCTCGTGGATGGCGGTCAGCATGCGACACAACTGCGAGTCGCCGCGCTGCTCGCAGGCACGGATGAAGCCCGCCAGAGTGGTGAGGAAGTTGGCGTCCAGGAAGTCAAGGCGCCGCGCCACAGCTTCGCGCACAGCCACTAGCTCAGTCTGATCGGCGCGGTCGTTTTGGATGTAGGCAACGGCCTCTGAGACAAACAGCTCGCGCGTCACCTCGTTGACGATCTCGCCCACCATCGCTGCCGCGCGCTCCACATTTGCTGTGATTTCGGCACGCTTTTGGGCTGCATCTGGTTGGGATGACGAGGATGGTCCGGTGGGATTCGGTCCCGGTGCGGCGCTGAACAAAACGCCGGAGCGGCGCCCCGAAAGGCAAGGGCGGCGAGTCGGCGGCGTCGAGGGAAGCGGGACGGCTTGCCGGGGAGCTCCAGCATCACGCCTGACCCATGGCTGGTTAGGAGGGTAGAGGACGACTTGGTGCATGCCTCGGCGGGAAAAAGTTAGTTTCGGCTGACAGCCGGAACACTGTTCAGAAGCCGAGTGGTCGAAAAAGTAGTACTGTTTGTGCTCCCAAATGCAAATTATCCTATTACCATATTTGCGGGTCCACCTAAGACAATTGTCATAGCCACAATAATGTTCGTATTGTGAGGTATGGGTCCTTAGGCCGTATTAAATGAGTACGCCAGACCGCCTGTCAGAAAACAAGGCTGCGGTGGCTGAAGCCATTGCGGGTTGTGTTAAGACTGCACTCAGTATTCCGGAGCTGGTAGCGAAGGACCAGGGCACTAGGGTGAGACTAGGCATTACGGGACAGGTTACCTGTCTGAAGCCAAATCCGGTCGCTGTTAAAAATAGCTTGCAGCGTTGCTTATTAGATTGTATCAAGCCCACGGCTTAGTATCACGCAGAGCATACGAATAAGGTGACAGCTGCCCCGTCATCACTTGTAATGTCTACACCCGCTTCCCTGTACCTTTTCGCCCACAACTTGCAGCTAAAGGAGCTAACCGACAGTCTGACTTCCCGGGAGCCGCTTATCACCTCTACTTGCGCCTTCACAGAACAGAATTTGGGTCGCGGTGTGCAAGCGTACACCGCATCGCTGGAAGCGGCATCGCGGCCCTTGCGCCAGCTGCTGGAGAGCGCGGCTCGACTGGAGGCTGTGCTGGCGGTGGAGGAGGCCCGCAGCCGAAACCCCCGGACTCAGCATAACACCCAAGACAGCACGCGAGGCTGAACCCTTGCAGGCAGCCTGGGGGGAAAGCACGAGCGCGATCGGTAACCAGCGGTCAGCAAGGTGGCAGGGCTGCATCAAGAACGACTCACGAGCTGATCATCTGGCTGCCCTCAGCGATCCGGTTGGCGGCACTGAGTAGAGGGCGTTCTCAACGGCGGCTGTGGAGGACCGGCTGCGGAGGTCGCGCTCCTGGGGAGGGCCAGCAGCTGCTGCTCCTATCATCTTTTAGCAGAGTACGCTCTTCCCTGGACTATATTTCATTGACAACGCCGACGGCCATTATTCCACGATTCTGGGGCTCAGCAGCAGCAGCAGTTGCATGATTGTAAGGGCCCCGGCGGCTTTCCTCTTGGCTGTCTTTGCGGAAGCTTCTTTGTCGCTGCCGCGGCGCGGAAGACGCTGACGGCGGCAACTGGCCACCTGTGGGAGCTTAGATCTACCTCACGAGAGCAGAGCTACCATCACGACCGTTACCACTACCATTATTACCTAACGCCCAAGACGCCACGCCCTTACATCAACAACACACACACTCACACTCACACTCACACTCACACACCAGTAAAGCTAGGGTGTACTTCTAATCGTACTACTATTGCGACCATCGTGATCGCAGCTGGCCATCGCGGCAACCGCCATCCATCACTGCCTGCCTCTCCTAGACCGGAGTTGGCGGGTCGCTGCAGAGGATGCTGTTGACGTTGCTGTCACTCCCTGGAAAAGTGGCACCACGCTCTGTCGTAATCTCCGTACAGATTGTACGGTATGACGGAATCTCAGACAGGTGGCTCCGGAGGAGTTGCGTCGATGTCTACCGACGCTGCAGATGACGTATACGGCCGTACGGCGGCTGACGGATCCAGTACGACGGCTGAGCTGCTTGGAGTAGCGGCCGCCGTTGCCAGGAATGAAAGGGATCAAGGCACGGAGACTTGGTCGTACAAGGTTGCACGGCAGGTTTCGGGGATGTTGGCGGCGGGTGAATGGGCGCGATGTGAGGCGATGTTAGAGCAGATCTTGTTCCCTGCGACAGTGGCCGCCGATGCCGCTGCCGCGGTAGCGATCACGGCGACCACGGCGACGACAACGATGATCGTGACAACGGACACACAACGGGCACAGGTGAGCTCCGGCGAAAGGAACCATGCGATGGTGCCCGAAGCGAAGGACGAACTGCCGATGTCCAGGGGGAGGCAGGAGGGGGAGAAAGTGGCCGTTGTGAGTGCGGTTGGCTGGTGGGTGGTGGTGGCGGGTGTGGGATGCCGGATGCGACTTGGCACACGTGGTGCAAGGTTTTTTAAGCGGCTGTATGAGGAAAAAGGGGAGGAAGTGGAAAGCAATGGAATGGGTGAGAGAGAGGGAGCAAACGGATACCCCGCGGTGTGCAGCATCGGTTTGGCTGCCACATCAGCATCATCACCGGTTACGGGGCGCAGCACAGCACGGCACCTCCAGACCTCGCAATGCTGCATCGCGGCTGCTACTGCTACTGCTGTAACCATGATTAACAATCGTGATTAACCATCACCGCTAACTGCCATCGTAACCCCAGACGGTAACCGTAACCGCTTCTACAACCGTATGCATGTTGCGGCGGAAAACACCCAAGCCTAGTGTGCCTGGTCCTGCCCTCACGCATGCCGCCCTGCTTCGTCCTCCCTTTGCCCCCTGCTGCCGTACACAGGACAAACCTCTCGACAGACAGGACGTTCTGCGGGCGCTGGCGGCCGCCAAGATCCATCGCCTCATGGTGGATTTCTCCTCGGCCTCACCACCCTCCGCCACTGCGCCGCCAGGGGCTGGTGCTCACGTCAGGGGCCGCGACGAACGCAGAAGCTGCTCCTCCGCCTCCGCCTCCGCTACGGCAGCGGCGACGGTGCTGCGCTGGGCTGCAGCTTTGCCTGCCAGCCACTCCTCCTCAGGCCCCGGCAGTAGCCGCAACGTCGGCAGCGAGACACCCCGGGGAGCCTCTGATGAAGCTTCCGTTGCTACTGCCGTCGGCAGCGGTTGTGCAGCAGATGGTGCGACAGGCAGCAGTAGGGATGGAAGCACCAGGCATCAGCCGCCGCTCACCAGCAGTGATGTGCGGAGGTGGTTTCGGCGCCTTGCGGCTATTGTACACCCGGATAAGTGCCGTACGTCCCCTGCCGTACCGCAAGATGTGGCGGCGTCAGCGTTCAGGTTGCTACAGGAGGGCTGTGACGCGTTACTGAACGAGCTGGCGGGAGCGGATGGCTGTAGCGACGGCGGGGTACGGAAGCGACCCGGGGAAGCAGCGTGGTGCAGCGACGGCGGCGGCGCGTTTGACGGCGCGCACTGGGATGCCGGCGCCGATATGGACGCCGACGGTGATGGCGACGCGTGGTGGGCGGAGTGGCGGTGTCGCTCGCCGTCGCTGCCGCACGGCAGGTTCCCATCCACCTGCCCCACGGCACAGGACGAGGAGCCGGAGCTTTGGGAGCTCAGCCTCGAGGTGGGGCCCGGGGAGGTAATCATCGTTTTGTAGCCGCTATCACGGGATGTAAGAATTCACCTCGTGGAAGGGCTAGAACTAGGAAGTCCATTAACCGGTCGTCACGTGGTTCAGGTTTGTGGCTCTGTTGCCTGAGAGGTATCGTAAGGATAGGGATTCGCCTTGTCACTCATAATTCATCTCATCTTATGAGCCGCAAGCTCTCTTTGGATGCGCTGGTGGGTTGTAGATGTGTCCCCGTCCGCCTGGGGGTTTTACGTCCCAGGCTTCCCAACCCCCAACCTCCAACCACCCCAACGGAACACACGTCCTCAGGCCCTCCGGTCCGAAGTGGCTCTCCGCCAGAGCCAGGTACTGAGACCTCCGCCAGGCACCGCCGCCGCATCGCTGCCCATCCATGTACGGCAACGCCACCTGCGAGTGGCCAGAAGCGTGTTGGCGCAGCGAACCAGCGGCGCCGGCGCCGCTGCAACGACCACCGCCGGCGCCGGCCTTGGCAAGACTGGTGATGGCGATGGTGGTGATGGTATTGGTGATGTTGGTGGCGGGTTTGTGCGGTTATGAAGAGCGTCGTAATGCAGGGAAGAAAACTCGGAGTCGAACGGCTACAGGGAGGATATCGAATAGCGGATTCTTCATGTATCTGCGCTAGGAAAAAGCTGCTCTTTGCTTCACTTTTAAAGCGCCATGGGGTTGTGCCGCCCGTTTGCGGGTGGGGGTTTGGGGGTTCAAAGTCCACTCAAGAGTCATACAGGCGTCGCCCATACATTGGGTATTATCGTGTTCGCTGGTGTGGGAGATGTCTTTAACCATTATCCTCTTTTTCCAGCTCTAACAGGAGCCGCGCCACGAATACGTTTCATCGCACATGACCACAATTCTGAGCCATATGTAGCATACATATGTGTGTAGGTTACGTTAACCGTTTTCCCCAGCCCAGCCGTTTTGGCGGCATCCGTCGACCATCACAGCCTGCAACCCACATCCGCATTTCAGGGGCGCAGTCACCGGACAGACATAATCCTTTCAAAAGTGGAAACCACACCAAACGGTGAGAGCAAAGCGCACAGCGTCATTCCTGGTTCGTATCTCTCCATACGTACGACACCCGGCATGTACGGCCAGCGATATCTGCAAACCACAAATGCCACTGCGGCCGACGTGGAGTGAGTGCGTGTGTATGCACCCGTCCATAACTTAAAAGGGGTTGAACCAGGCCGCTTCACGCGGAGCTACCATAACGTGAAGCACTTTAAATGCCAGGTCGCGTAGCGCATATACGCCTGTGCAGATGTTGACTGGGGAGACGCTTGCAAGTTCAGGACGCCGGTACCTCACAGCTACCTTGGCTATCTTGCCTAACCACGGCCTACGTCTTATCAAGGGCGAAATTACGAAGCGCAGCACACAACAGAAATACCAACCCGCGTTAAGGTTAAGCAGCCTTTTGTCTCACTTCCTGCTTCACGTACGTAGACCGCGGCATACGGTACGCGCCACGCTGTTGTGCGATAACATGATGCGTTTCTTCATGCTGCGCGGTGCAACGACGACGAACCCTCCCACTCCTTAATCAGCGATTGAGCCGGACTAAGGTACACCGGACTGCAACAGCACACACATATATCGACTGGAAATGCCCAGCATCCCCGGGGGAAGAATCTGCAGGTGGTTGATCCTAAGCCAACCAGCGCGACGGCGGCAGCAGCAGCAGCATCCAGGACAGGAGCAACATTGTTGCTAGACCGCCGCCAACGAAATTTCCTCCCCTTGATAATGCCGCTGACCTCTCCAAGCAAAAGGGAGAGGAAATGGGGATGCCAGGATTCTCGTCATCTTTGCACTGCAGACGGCGCAGGAAACCCGTCACGCAGCCAGACCCAACAGCCCCTCTTGCCACACCTATGTGCCACCACCTCTCTCTTCCGTACCTCGCAAAAAGCTCCTTTAACCCTGCCAGGCAATGCAACTCGCGCACGCACGCACATACATACATACGCACACATCGCCCATGTTTAAGGGGCCCCTTAGCCAACCGCACCTCGTGCGCTCAAGACCATACATACACCGACAATTATTTCGCGTATACTCAATGCCGTACGCTTCTCCGCACAGAACTACGCACTTGCGATAACAATCGACGGTAAGTATGCAATGCTTCGAGCATGCTACCACCACCATCCCCATTCCGTACCCCAAAACTCAAGACACCCTGTGGCGCACTGTGTTCTGTGGTTCGCCAGTGACGCCCCCTTTGTTCTGCGTCACGTGACTCAACCGATTCGTCCATTCAACTGACATGTATGCGCCGTCCGACAGTTCGCATCTGTATTAAAGGTCCCCATACCCTAAACTGCTCAAGACGCTCATAACAAGAATAAATGGCATAGTGACCAACTGCATGCGCCCGGCTGCTGCTGCTGCTGTTGTAGCCCCTTCGCAAGGCCCGACAAGATATCAATTCGCGTCCCAAGGGACATCTCCCACAACATATTTTACACCGCCCATTGCAGTCGCCATAAACCGAAGATCAGCGCCTCCTAGAAGGCAGGAGAGCTCTAAGGCCCCTACAAACCCAAGGCCCACTTCTCCATCGACCCCCTACACCCCGCCATATTCATCAAGCGTCCCTAATGCCTGTGCTCCTCTTCGCAGCCTGTCGATAGCCGACCACTGCTCGGCACGCTTCGATATAGCGGACCGGCCGCCTCAAATTACAGCTCTAGCACCCCAGCCGTCCACCGTAAAGTCACAGTCTCCTGAGCCGCCAAGAAACAGCTTCTTCCCACAATGATTAACCTACTTCCCACTCTCCTCCCCGCCTCCTCTGTCGTCTTCCCCAAGTGGAGGGAAACCCGCGTCAAAAACCACGAGCGCACGCTGCCTTCGGCTTGGTTCCCCGAACTATCGTCTCCCGGGAGAGCTCACGTACACGTACACGTACGCGAAAGCAAACCCCTTGCAGGAGGACATGTCGACTCGAACGGGGCAAGCACACAGACAGCGGGGTCGACCAGGCACCCCTTCGGAGCCCCTCACCCAAGCCCCTTCCTCGATCCCTCGCGCAAAGCCTCAGTTGCCCGTTGCCGTCACCGCAGTCCCGTCCCCGTTTGCGGACCCCACAGGCACCGTGGCCGCAGCTGCCCCCACAGGCACCACTCGGCCGTTATCTCCGTGAGCCAAACCAGCAGGCAGATCCATGCCGCCCTTGGCGTAGGCAGTAGTCACGGCCTGAGCCGGGTGAGAAGGGGAAGGCCGCCATCAGTTAAAGAATGAGCCGGCGATTGTTTCGTCCAGCCGGCCGTAGTATAAAGAATAAAGAAAGAAGAAATACATGAGACGTGCTGTAGTAAAACCTGTGTGTATGGCTGTTTTAAGCACAGCCGCTTAGTGCGCGGACGCCATGCCAACGCTGGAACCTTTCCCCACTGAAGATCTCGTGCATAAACCATTCCCCCCAAAATCCCTCGTGCCTACATGCACAGACGTGTACATATAACAGGCATTGAACATAATCACAGTGTCGTACAGTACACAGCTCCGGACACACCACACTGCAGCTCCTGCACACACCTACCTGCGTGGGCTCGCCGTCATGATCCCAAAAGCAAAAGTCCCCGTTCAGCTCGCCGTCCTCCGTCAAGCCGCCACCCGCCCCAGCCATCGCAATCGGCTCATCAGCTCCGCTTCCCTCGCTCTCCCCGCCCGCCAACATGTGCGCCATGCGGTCCCGCTTGGCCTCCAGGTAGCCCTGATAGCTCAGAAGGACGGCAGGGAAGGATGGTGCGTGTGGGGGTTGAATGTCGGGGGAGGACGTGAGAAGGGGGTTCCCCATCATCCCCCCGTTTCTAAGCAATCCATGAACGGAAGCAGACATCATGCAATGTCAGTCGTACTTTCCTGTGCTGTACATTCGCACGCCCTCACCTATCGTACACCTCCTCTCATCTCACCTGGTTGTATTTCCCCGCCGCCACAAGGCACGGTATGCGGCCCGTCACGTTGATCCCCAACTTGGTCAGCACGTTGATCTTTCGTGGGTTGTTGGTCTGGAGGACGGAGTTCACGTGCAAGGAGCCGTGCTCATTTGTTAAAACAAAGTAAAGAGAGGAACGAGAGCGGCAAGACATAATCAGGAGAAAACAGAGATAGAAAATGAGCAGCTTAAGCACCAACAAAAGGATTTTTTGAGTGCCGGGGCCAGACAGAACACGGTCCATGCATTCATGGACAAGCCACACACGGTTACGCGCGTGGAATGGAAAGAGCACGGCCATCACAGCGCGGCCCCTAACATGACGCAAGAGCAGCGTGTGTTTGTGTTGTTGCAACCCCACAGATGATATCAACCGCAATAGACAACAAGTAAGCAAATACATATCCCACCAAAACAGACCCAGAAGCTATCCGACTCAGAAACCATAGGACGTTCATGGGAGCGTACCTTCCTATGCAACCCGCCCCGATGATGGCGTTATCCTCCGGACCATCCCTCCCCCTCCCCCTCCCCCTCCCGCTCCCCCCTCCCCTGCCTGCCCTGGGAGCAACACGACGCCTTAGCCCCTAAGCCCTGCGGTCTCCATTCTCACCAACGCCTCGTGTTCCCCCAATCGCCCTTTCCTCCGAATGCATGCACCCCTCTCTCCTCCCGTCCCCCCTTTCCTTCCCCCCCTGTGTCCTCCGGATGAGCTCACAATGAGTCTGATGCTCTTGATTCCCAGGTCCGCCAGCATGTTGCGCACTGAGCTGTACTCTCGGCAGTCATCCGGGAGGCCCAGAGCCCGATTGGCGTCCACCGTGTCGAGGCCTTGCTCCTGCAGGGGGGATTGCGTACGGAAAGAGGAGAGGGCCCGGCGGGGAGGTGCGGGAAATTCATGTCAACTTACAATCCGGGAGGGATTAGCCAGAGCTAGAGCCCCCCAAAACGATATGCCTTGCAACAGAGTTGCAAATGCACGCGAGGGGGCCGTCCTGCGAGCCGCGCAACGGTGTGAGGCAGGCGAGCAGGTAGGACGGAGGGCGTGAGGCAGATAGACGCGACGGGATAAGGATACAGAAGCAGCCCCACGGAATGAGCCCAGATGGAGCAGAATTCTAAAAACCTCGGCCAAGAGGATGTGCGCAGCGGAGAAGGCGGCTGGAGACGCATGAGACCAAACGCTGGCAAGTTCGCTGCTACGGCGCTTCCCTCGCAGCAGTAGCAGTAGAAACAGCCCTGTCCTGCACCCTGAAAAGGAGGAAACTACTCCAGACTCCGCAAAACAATCCACATTTCATTACTGTGAGGAAACATGGCCTCCTTTCCGCGTTATTGGGTCAGCTGCCCGAGTCACCGGATCTTTCCTCTACTGATTTACCGCTCTTTACAAGCCGCTAAGCCAGCGGCGTTCTTGCTCTTGTCGACAGCCTACTCAGCTTCAACAACACACTTGGCAGTTAGCCAAGTGCTAACTGACCCCTGAATTGAACTCCGCATCTGGGTCGAACTCACTTGGCTGCCAAATGCTTCCACCCAACCACATTCGCGACCTAACCCCTTTCGACCGCCTGCGCCATCCGCCCTATTCCAATCCCTCGCCGCCGTCAACAAAACCATTCATTATTCGCCGGCTAAGAAACATGCCGTGGGAGATGCGCAAGGAATTCGTAACATTCGCGGGTGCTTTGCGCATCTCCCACGTCCACGTTGCGGCCTCCTCCATCTTAACCAAAGTACACATCCTCACAGCTCGCGAAACCAGCGTTTCCCGCGTACAATGCTACGATGCATGGCCGGTTGGGCGGCGGAAAAGTCTCTCCCTGTTCTGGGATCAGTCAGGTCCCTTCCCAGCACCCTTTCGCTTAATGAGCATGACACAGATGGCTGCCGGAGACATATCACAAATTTCCCTCTGGATCTCGCCGTTCGACACCGCAAATGTATATCGGAGTGAGCTTATATCACACACATCAACGCACACTTCTTTCAAGACAGTTCTTTCAAGACGCAGAGTCCCCGCACCTGTAGCGAGTAGGCCGCTATTTTGTTGGCCAGTCCAATGCCCCTGCCCTCCTGTTGCAGGTAAATGACCAGTCCCGGTGGGTCCTTCTGGACGGTCTGAAGGGCTAGCTCCAGCTGCTCAGCACAGTCGCACTTCAGAGAGCCCAGTACCTCTGAAGGGGGGAAAGGTACGTGGATGAGGGGAGAAGTCGGTATGCCATGCGGGAAAGCGTCGACAAGGAGGGCCTGGGGTTGGTGGAAAATGCGGTACGAGGAATGGTGTAGGACTTTTGGATGAATAGCTGCTCGTTCCAGAACCGGTGAGAAGGGAGATGAGGAAGAGCAGGAGGAAATTGGCGCAACAAAATACAGGGGGAAAACAGAGAAAATGTAAATGTGCCCGGGTCGTAAACGGGGTAGGTAGAGGTGCTAAAGAGAGAGTGGAAGAGGAAGGATCAGAAAGGGGGACGATAGGGAGACCTGGGAAGAAATGTGTCCTTTCCACCATACGAGATACATAGAAGCAGGGTTACACATCCCATTGAGAAAAAACGGCAGTTGGGTGTGGTGGGGGACAGTGGACCCATCAACAAGCAACATTGTTAGCAATTGGAATGAAGCGAGTGTTCCGGCTGGAGCAGCTGTTCCCCGCTGTTCTCCGGGTTGAATACCAGTTGTCCCAATCTGCCCAACAGCCTCCCTACGCCAGGATTGAAGAAAAGCGGGACCTGGCAGGCAAAGCCAACCACGGCACTGAAGGGTGTTTCAGGACTCACCCGAAGTGAAGCAGGCGTCGTGCACACGTAACGGTACCTGAGGAATGGGCAGAATTAGAGGTCATAAAAACAAGAGCACCAAAAATGTTGTTGCAAGCTGAAAGCTGGGCGCGAGAAAGGGCATTATGCAGCGAGGATCACACGTCAGCCACCGGCCTTTATGCCCTCGTAGCACGTACGTTCTCTTGGCCTTCAACCCGTCCAGCAATAATGGCCGTCGGTTCTGTGAACGTTACTCCGCCATCGATCTGCAAGCAGGTGGTTATAAATCAGCCATGTCCCAGACCACAAATATAGCCGATGACATAGCTGAAGCCCTTCATCCAATGCTTACAGAGTGCTTGTAGCCACGCAACCGAAATTTGCCATGCCGTGTTGGCAAGAGAGTCTCGGCAATAAACGTTGTGATAACCTGGTCTTCGTCCACGGATACGTTTCCCGTTGGCACATATGGTGTTATCTTTGGAAGGAAAGCCGGTTGGCCGCTCGCCGTTTCACCATTTGCTGTGGCAAAAGAAAAGATAAGATCCCGACGTGACGAGGGTCCACGCCATGGCAGGCCTGCCGCAGATCGACTGGCTGGAAAATGCCTAGCCCGAAACGCCTGGGGGACATGTGAGCAAGATGCTGCTGTATGACTATGGATGCGCTCGAGTGTAGCCATGCGGGATAGTATGCGTTTGCCAAATTGTAAACTTGCTGACCCTAGCTGCAAGAAGCTAGCTTGTTATGATCGCTTCCTCAAGATGTGCGTATGCCAGATCACATAGCGAGCATTGCCACAGGATGAACCTCATACTATGGCCGTACGGCCTTCCTGGCCCCACAATCCCGGAAAAGTGTCAGACTGCACACGATGGAGCTGCTTCATCGACAATATAGCTTACAAGTTGCTATATGTCTAACGTTGGATATTAATTGCACTTTTCGATGGGTTTGTGCTCGCTGTCAGCTATCCGACGTTTAGGGTTCCAATAAATGATATGTATCTGCCAAACATACTCATGTTAGTGTTGGGTTCCACGTATGAATATGTCATTGCATGCGCACTGTGTGTATGTCGAGTCTGTGAAAAATGGGCTTGAAACAAATGTGGATATTACTGTTATTATGCCCGATGCAATGATTCTGCCAATGTTCTTTAGCTCAATCGTATTGGCAGATACCTTGCAGCAATTGGACTCAGGATGGTCTGTCGTTTTTGTTCTTTTGGTGCTTTCGTTTATTGCAGTAGATGGAAGAGACAGGCAGAATATGTTCCGTGTATTAAGACCATCAGCGAGTATTGGGGCTCCGATGGCTGGGGAAAAGGTCCAACGGTCCGGCGGTCCTCCCACAAGTATACGACAAACCACAGTTAGGTGTCCATCACACCATAGAGTTTATCTATACCAAACCGCTGTACTTAAGGAAACTGGAAACTTAAGTAGGCTCGTGTGGCACCCCGCGCACAAAGCGTGCGACAATGAAGTCGCCGCTTCATTCTGGGCGTCAAGCTTGTGTAAACCGGCCGCTGATAAGAGCTCGTATTTCTCATTATAGTAATATCACACACCAAAACACCTGCATTACTGAATATCTTCATAAGAGCCACGCAAGGAACCGCGGACGGTTGCGGTCGTCGCACGTCGCACCAGCGACAGCCCCTGGAGCTCAGCAGCCTCAGCAGCGTCAACAACTTGCACCAGAACCAGAGGATGGCCCGTCAACCTCGGAGTCCCAGCGCAGCTCCGGTGCCGAATCGCCTAACTCGCAGCAGCCTCGGACGCCATGGCTTTTGCAACTGCTCCAGCGATTTAAAGCACCGCTCTGGCTGATAAACTTTGTCAGGAAGTATGTGTTTTCACCTCCTGCCTCGCGGACTGCGGCCCTGGCACGTGCGTTGTGGATCTCCGTCGGATTTCTCGGTGTGGCGCTGGGCCGAGAGCTCTTCTTCCCAACCCCGCGAGTCGCACCGCGAGAGGTCAGTCGGGGATTAAATGGGCGGTGTGGGGGGGGGAATCGTGAGGAGAGGTCGCAGGCGATGGTGGTGGTGCACCGCGCTTCACCCTGTGGTCCCCAGGAAGTCAGGGCCCTCCAAGGGCCCTGCAACTCGTTGTTGAATTAACAAAGCTCGACCGCGAGAAAGGCCGCGAGGAGGAAGTAGACAAGTGCACGAATCTGCAAAGTGGGTTATCTAGGTCTGGTTTGCTTATGGACCCCACCTTCAACCAGCCGTGTCGCCATTCCCGAGTCTGCTTTGCCTGCTTTCAACACCTGCCGCCCCCCCCGCGGCGTTTACGTTTGCTACTCTCTTGCCCTGGCAGCAGCTTCAATCGTGTGTGGTTCGTCTTTCCCCCCCCCGCGGGTTTGGCGTTGGGAAATGAAATGTGTGAGGGAGGTCAGGCAGGGACATACCGCCCGCATTTGTGGGTCCACAAGGAACACGGCGGCGACGAACCTAGCAGGCGGTTTACAGTAGTATTGGGGGGAGGAGATGGAGGAGGAGGCGGGGAGGAGAAGGAACGGGAGTTGGAGGGGGGCGCACTGTGAATAGGCGCTGTTCCCGAGTCCGCCGCTTCCCCATCGGAGCCTGGGAGGAAGCTGCTCCCATGTGGACGCACTCTCCCAACTAACTACCCAACAAACCAACCAACTAACTACCCAACAAACCAACCACCAGGTGCTCTACTCGGACTTTGTTACGCTTCTGGACGGAGGGAGGGTGCGAGCGGCGAGGCTGGAAGCGGGAACCAGCCGCCTCTACTTCGATGTCTTGCGACCACCACCGCAACCGCAGCAGCAGCAGCAGCCGGAGGCCACAGCTGCCGCTACAGCCGCAGCGGCGACGCTGTCGACTTCGGCGGCGTCGCCCGCCGCCGCGACGGCAGCAACAGGCGCCGCTTCCTCGGCAACTGCTGTACGGCAGCGGTTTCAGAAGCAGTTTTACATTAAGCTGGCAGACAAGCAGGATGTGTTGTTGATGGGGAAGCTGCTGCAGGTGCGGGGGGGGGAAGGAAGGGGGAAGGGTGCGATGAGGGGAAGCGCTGGCGTTGAGGGGGCGCTGGCGAGACTGTGTGTTTTGAAGCGGTCTAGAAACGGTCTGGGTTTACCTTTAGAGGATTTGCAATCCAATGCCGGCAGCGCCGCTTTTCCATTCCTGTGTACATTTCATCCCGGTGCTTAACGTGAATAGAGAAAAGCACGCGGCCGTCGCCCGAAGGTTCCCCCCCAGCGCCCCACCCACAACCCTCGCATCCCCGTCACCTCCTCATCCCCCATCTCGCTTTCCCCCAGCCGTCGGTTCCCCCCTCTCACCCCGAGTACTCCGCAACCCCCGACCCCCACCCCAGGCGGGTGTGGAGTTCTCCGTGCTCCGCGCCTCCTTCACGGCCGCCGCCGCCAATGCCTTCCTCACCGCCCTGGCCCTCTGGCTGCCCCTGCTGCCGGTGCTGTGGCTGCTGCGCCGCCTGATAGACCAGCGCCAGGGGACTGGGTGAGAGGGGGGGGGTCCTGGGGGGGACCTGGGGCCGTGGTGGAAGGCGATCTGAATGCGGGGGAAGGGTGGGAGGGGTGGGTGGGAGGGAGGAAGGAGGAGGGAGGGGGTTTTAGGAGGACACGGATATTCGGGATGTGATGTTCCAGTAGGTGGACTAGGAGGAGGGTGGAAGGGGGGGGAAGTACTGTACTGCCACTCTTTAATTGAACAGAAAGGACCGCAAGGAACTGTTATATTTGTGTTAGGTTGCGCAGATGTACGAGGTCGTCTTGTGCCGCCTCTAGGGGGTTGCGGGAGCACAGTCAAAACAAGGGCCCTGAGCGGTCAGGTCAACGTGTTGACGGTATTGCTACTACACGGTGTATCCCCCGGCCGCTCCCGCTCACCTCCCCCCCTCTCTGCCCCAGTCGTGCCAAGAAGTCATCTTCCGCGGGTAATACCCCCAGTACGACATTTGCGGACGTGGCGGGGGTTGATGCGGCCAAGGAGGAGCTGTTGGAGGTGGGAAGGACGAGGGGAGAGAGAGGGAGGGGGAGAGAGGAGGGAGCAGCTAGGAATTGTGGTGCGCTACGGAGCTGCCGTATGGGGGGCCTGTAGGGGATCTCCGAGTAGTAGTAGTGGGGCCTCGTAGACTCCGGGTCCTGTCGGCTACTCCGTTATAACTCATTTGGCACTCCGTACACTTTACGTTAAGCGCGCCATGCGGCTGATCCATAAAGTAAATAAGATAGATAGATAGATAGATAGATAGATAGGTGGATAGATATGCTGTATTAACTTTGGATTATACATACAGCAACATACATGCTGTACATACTATGTGTCCCCACAGCATGCATATGTGTGTATGTATATATGTATATACATGTACTTGGCCAAGGTGGTATTCCCGTGTGTTGCCCCTTCTTTTCCCGTTCCTGTTGGTGGTTGGATGTACGACGCAGGTGGTTGGTGTGATGCGGCAAACCAAGAGCACCTTTTCCAAGCTCAAAGTGGGTCGGAGAGTGTGTGTGTGTGTAAGGGGGGAAGGACCGGGGTGGGAAAGAGAAGCGGGGTGACGGCGGCGGCTGAGGAAGACGACGGGGAGGAGGGAATCCTACGAACCGCCGGGGAAGGGGTCTTGTGAGGGTGGGGGTGGGTGGGTGGGTGGCGCAGAGGCTCTCGTTGTTGTTGCGGACGGCGGCGGCAGCTGAGGTGGCTCGGTGCGGCGTCTGTGGATTGAGGCGGCGGTGTGGGGGGTAGGGGCTGGCACCCCTCCCGTGTGTGTAGTTACCCCTCCTTCCCTCCTGCCACCCAGGGGCTCCCAGCCCAGGTGGAGGGTGCACCTGCTACACGGCGCTGTCTCACGCAGCCGCCGGCTTGCAGCCCGGTGCCCCGTGCGCCCGGGTTTGGGGAACACCCCCTCGCGTGGTCCCACCCGCCTTGACGGCGTCCCTTCCCCCCCCTCCCGCTCAAGTCTGTTGAACTCAATCGTTTACATCACAGTACAGTACAGTTCAGTACAGTACAGTACAGTACAGTACAGTACAGCAGGTGGTTGACCCCCTCCCGCGGGACTCTTGGGACGCCGGCAGTAGTTCTCCACTTTAGGACGGCTAAACCTTACTTCATATTTATTCCCTCCCTTGACTTTGCATATGGCGGCCCCCCGAAGAACCCCTTCCCCCCGAAGACCCCCCGCCCCGAACCCCCCGAACCCCCGCCCCGCTTGGGACGTCGGGAGCTCATTCCCGAGTTTGTTGCACCCGAACTCACATGACTTTCCCCCCCCCCCCCCGTTCAGGTTCGTATGCCGTCCGGAGTGCTCCTGTGCGGGCCCCCGGGCACGGGGAAGACACTTTTAGGTGAGGGGGGGGTCAGGGGGGGCTGGGGGGGATGGAAAGAAGAGCACTGTGCGAACATAGCCCATGTTATGATGTGGCGCAACGCGAGCAATCTGTCCAGATACAATCGTGTGTGTATGTGTGTGTGTGTGTGTATGTGTTTGTGTTCTCCCTTGGCGGCGCTGTCAGGGGGTAGCTGAAAGAAATGCGAACGAGGCAGTGTGCGTGTGGGTTTTGCCGTATTTACACCTACCGTTGCACTTCACTGCCAAACCTTGCCCAGATTAACCTCTCTTTTCGGCCGGCGACCCAGACCCCTATACCCTCCCACCCCCTCCTCCCCCCAGCCAAGGCAGTAGCAGGCGAGGCGGGGGTTCCGTTTTTTGCGGTATCCGCTTCCGAGTTTGTGGAGCTGTTTGTGGGGCGAGGAGCTGCGCGCATTCGGGAGCTGTTTGCGGAGGCGCGGAAGGCGGCGCCCTGCGTGGTGAGGGCGCCTTTGGAAAGGGGACG